ATAAATATAAAGGGAAGGGTAAACCCCTTTAAAATCCCTCCTGGCCAGAGGAAAAATCCTCTCACCTGTAAAGGGTTAAGAAGCTAAAGGTAACCTCACTGGCACCTGACCAAAATGACCAATGAGGAGACAAGATACTTTCAAAAGCTGGGAGGAGGGAGAGAAACAAAGGGTCTGTGTCTGTCTGTATGCTGCTTTTGCCGGGGATAGAACAGGAATGGAGTCTTAGAACTTTTAGTAAGTAATCTAGTATGTGTTAGATTATGATTTCTTTAGATGGCTGAGAAAAGAGCTGAATAGAATGACTATTCTTGTCTGTGTGTCTTTTTTGTAACATAAGGTTTTGCCTAGAGGGATTCTCTGTTTTGAATCTAATTACCCTGTAAGGTATCTACCATCCTGATTTTACAGAGGGGATTCCTTTACTTCTATTAAAAGTCTTCTTGTAAGAAAACTGAATGCTTTTTCATTGTTCTAAGATCCAAGGGTTTGGGTCTGTGGTCACCTATGCAAATTGGTGAGGATTTTTACCAAACTTTCCCCAGGAAGTGGGGTGCAAGGGTTGGGAGGATTCTGGGGGGAAAGACGTGTCCAAACTACGTTTCCCAGTAAACCCAGTTCAAGTTTGGTGGTGGCAGTGGAAATCCAGGGGCAAAGGATAAAATTAATTTGTACCTTGGGGAAGTTTTAACCTAAGCTGGTGAAAGTAAGCTTAGGAGGTTTTCATGCAGGTCCCCACATCTCTACCCTAGAGTTCAGAGTGGGGGAGGAACCTTGACACCCCCACACATGCACACTGCATGTTGACACTCTAACCCTATGAATGGGTTACACTGTGGGAAAACTCTACTGCCCACCCTGCGTCCTAACTCTGAGGGCGCTACTGATGGGACTCAGGAGTAGATAACGGCGTAATTAGCTCCTTTGGTGGCTGTCTCAGTAGAATGACTGCAGTTTTAGAAGGCTTTATGCTGAACTACCATCGAACCTGAGAACAGGGCTCTCCACCTTTAGGCTGAGTCAGATTGGCAGGAAAATGCCCATGTGCACCTGTGAAGATAATTAGGGCATCAGTCTCCAGGGCTGTCAAACTATTAAAATGAAACTTTGCAATTCTTAATTTTTAAAATGGGACATTCAGTGACAGTGTTGTTGTTTGGTTGTTTTTTTTTTTAATATATTTTTGTCTGTTTGTTTTGAAGTTTGACATAAAAATGTAGGTTTCAGAGGAAAAACACACACAGAGCCTGCAGAGCGGTGAAGGGCATCCCCAGCACTTGGGATGCAGTGTGCTCCAGCACCTCACCACCCCGGGATCCCTTATTCCTGCCCTTATCCCACACCCCAAGAGGCAGGGATAAGGGATCCCTGGGAGGCTGTGGGTAAGTTTTGGGGCTAGCTCCCACTCACTGCCCTCAAACTGCACACTGCCTGGGCACCCCTACACATGCAGTCAGAGGGAGCTAGGGGGAAGCACCTGGGAGCAAGAAACAGAGAGCAGAGACCAAGCAGCTGACCTCCACCAAAATCTGGCTGTGCTCTTGTGACCAGGAAATAGCTCTTTTTGCAAAAAGCATCTTCTGATTGGTCTCCACTGAAAACCCTGCAGGCTCTCTGATAGCATGCATGCAGACTGGTGTCCAACAGACAACGGGTTAATGCTGATCATCTGAGCTGCCATGGTTTGCAAAGGGAGGTGTGGCTTACGTTTGCAAGAGTGTAATAGACTGCACCACAGATTTTTGGCATAGAGAGGACTAAGTAAGTTGCCCCAAGGAACAGTGGGATACATTCAGAGGACTTCCAGGATCGAGACAAGAGGGGGCCAAGACACATGTAGAGGAAAGCAATAAGACTTGGATTCTAGGTCCCAGCTTAACATGGGCTTGTACCCTTCAGCCCTGCAGGGTCCTCTGGGACCCTAGGGTCAAGCCCTAGATTAACACCGTTGTTATGTGGACGCAAGGGAGGTTAGGCTTGTCACTTAAACCGTACTCACGTTGCTGTGTAGACATACCCTAAGCAATTAAAAGAGCTAGGTTACAAAAAATGGGGGAAACACAGACACTCCACTCCCTACTGGCTGAGCCTGGGGACAGGAAAGCAGGACATGGGCTCCAGGGAGTGGATGACTAAGTTGAAATCTCTTTATGAAAGCTAGAGCTGTAAAGATATTCTTTGTCACCTTCTGGTTGAGGTAATTTCCTACCATTTTTTAATGCATGGGCCACTCTTATTTCAAGTGGCCCAAGTGATGGAGTTGTAATCCACACACCTCCTAGGTGTGGTGTTCTGTCCCAATCTAGTGGCACCGAGACCACTTAGAGATTAATGAGTCTGCTCTACAGCCTTCGCTAAGAGCTATATAGCTTTTAGCTCCAGAGGTCCCAGGTTTGATCCTGCCCTGACCACCAGGGTCTATTGGCATTACACAGTCACCACCATTTTCTGAGGGAGACTAGTACCACACAGTGGCAGATTTTCCCTGGCTTAGTTTTGTCCTGCTACTCCTACTTATAAACCCATCTATCATCCTAAATCCCTCTCCAGCCTTGCTTGTCACCCACTTGACACAGTTGTAGGTTTATGGCCCCTCTTCTCAAGCTATTTATAAAAAACAGCTTGCGTTAATGACTGTTCCTCTACTTTTCCCACCCCTTGCAAGCTTAAATGAACTGAAAGTTACCATAGTTGCTCATGCACATATGTTCGACCTAAATAAATTTCACACCTGCAGTTCTGCAAACAGGTGCTACATGATCAGAGGAACTCCAGCAATTATGGCTGCTCAGCAATCAATATATAGAAAAGGGTACTCAGCTTTTGATAGGTTTCAGAGTAGCAGCCGTGTTAGTCTGTATTCACAAAAGGAAGAGGAGTACTAGTGGCACCTTAGAGACTAACCAATTGATTTGAGCATAAGCTACAGCTCACTTCATCGGATGCATAAAGTGGACTGTATGAAGTGAGCTGTAGCTCACGAAAGCTTATGCTCAAATAAATTGGTTAGTCTCGAAGGTGCCACTAGTATTCCTTTTCTTTCAGCTTTTGATGACACTTCAACCAAAGCAGGAAACTAAAACCAAATAAACACATCATCCACTGCTATGTGATATCATTCCCAAGTCTCAGCAACATAAACCTCTTAGCCAACAGAGCAAACAATCTCACCTAAAAATGTAAACAATGCTGCAGACACTAGATAGAGATCTAGAAGAACAGATCCAAAACAGGTTAGACTTGCAAGATCGACACAGAATGGCAGATATTTTATCACAGTGGTAGGTGGACAGACTTCTTTGCAAAGACAGAAGTAGCAAGTATATTAAACTGGAATTGGAAACTGGGAGATAAATCGCACAGTACAATCCTAGAAAGATCAAGCATACAGCCAACATGATTAAGAAGAAATTGAACCAGGGAGAGGGGAGCACTTTCCACTTCAATGTCTAAAATATGAGAAACAGCAAGACAGACAGAACCTCAAATTATCAGAAGTGATAGAAGACTTCACTTGTCAAGTGAATTCAAACCCCAGCTGTGAGTGAACCTTGGAAACACAAAGAGAAAGCACTGCCCATCAGCCATAAATTCATAGCCGCCAAGGCCAGAAGGGACCACGAACCATCTCCTCTGACCTCCTGTGTCACAGGCCGGAGACCTGACCCAAGCCATTCCTTTAAAAAGGAACAGAAGAGCTAACCGCATTTCAACGGGCCAGCGCTGGACCGGGAGAGCCCGTCGCGGGGACAGGGGCTGCCCAGGGGCAAACAGAGCATCGTGGGGAAAGGGGGCAGCCGGGCAGGTCTGGGGGGAGAAGAGGACGCTCGGGGAGGGGAGAAAGGGACAGGCCTGGGGGCGGCCGGGCCTGCCTCAAGCCAGGGGCGGAGGGAAAGGGGCGGGCTCGGCTCGGCAGAGATGTGGGGGCGGCCAGGGGACCGCAGGCTGGGCTCGACGGCGGGGCGGGCGGCCCGTGGGGCGAAGGGTGAAGCCGAGGGGCGGGCACAAGGGATGGGGGGGGGCGTAACGGGGACGCGCACCGGGGCACGCGCACGGCTCCGCCCGGCGGGAGTGCGGGCCTGCACGCAGGGCTCGCCCCCGGAGAGATTGGGGGCGGGAGACCCCGCGCGCAAGGAGCGGAGCCGCGCTAGGCCCGGACGTCGGGGCCGGGCCGCGGGGGGCCTGTACCCAACACGGGGGTCTCACCTCGGTCCGTCTCCGCCACTCCCGCCCTGCCGCGTACACCTCCACGCACAGACCCTGCCACTGCAACCAATCAGCGCCCGCCCCGCCGCGGGCCAATCCGAGAACGGAATCTCCTCCCGCCCCGCGGCACTGCCCCGCCTGGGCCCGCGCAGAGCGAACAGCCCCGCACTGCCAGCCTATCGGGGGCGGGCGAGGGGCGGGACCACACAGCGAACTGTCCAGTGACAAATCACAGCGCGTCCCGGCGAGCCCTATTGGGATCCAGGAATACCGCCTCCCCCCGGCACCCCGGGGGCGAACCCGCAAGTATTGGTGGCTCAGAAAGGTGGGTCCCTGCGCCACAGGAATTGGAAAGGGGCACTTCCGGGGCTCTGGGGCCTGGCGAATTGAGATAGCGGGGAGGGTCCCCCTGTCACTCAGAGCGCTAGCCCCGCCCCCTAGCTCGGCCGGCTGCGGCTGTGCCGGCTGGCGCGGTGGGGGCGGGGCGGGGGATTGTCCAATGGCAGCGGGCAGCGGAGTGCGGGCGCTGATGACTAACCCCGGGCTCGCCCAGCCGGGGGCGCTGCGGGGCAGGAGTGTCGGTTGGGGCCGGGGGCGCTTGGAGCGTGGCTTCGCCACGTCATGCCTGACCCGCCCGTGCCGGGACAACGGGCTCTGTGCGCGCGGGATGAGCCGCCCCCGCCCGCGCGCCGCGCCCCGCCCCGCCCCGCCCCCGAGCCGCCGGGCGCCGAGCTGGAGCGGCCCAGCCCCCCCCGCTCCACTCCGCCGGCTCGTGCTGGGGGCGGTTCCCCTGCCCCCCCCCGACCGAGGGTGCAGCCCCCGCGGGGGCCTGGGCCGGACCCGCGGGGGGGCTGCGTCGGGCACCCCAGTGTCCAGGGGCGGCCCTGAGCCCAGGAGCCCTTGGCCGCCTCGCAGCTGGTGAAGCAGGCGGCGAAGGGCGCCGCTGAGGAGGCCGCCCCGGGTGCGGTAATAGCCGCTGTTGGGCTCGCCGCTGCTGGCGAGCCAGGCGAGCCTGTGAGCCACACAGAGCTCTTCCCCAGGCCCGGGACGGCGGCTCCCGGCCGCGCAGCTTGGTGCAAAGGGGAGCAGCTCCTTCAGCCTAGGTGGTTGCACACGCGGTACGGGAGCATTCAAGGCGAAGTGGTCCCTTCGCATCTCTCCAGGCACAGGGCACAAAGAGGGAGTCTCATAAACCATAAATCCAGTGTCTCTGCTCCGGCCATGATTTTAAATGTCTGGCGGAGTGATGGGTTTAAGCTCCCAGACTCATCTTTTGAAAGTGTTGGGCAGGTTTCCTTTGAGAATGAGGCCTGATTGGCCAGACGTAGAGTGATGGCTTTGGAAAAGTGTTCACCCACAGGTGACAGGGTGTTTGTGTCTTTTATCGTTTTCCTGTGAGAGTTCATGTGAGGGTGTAGCGATTGTCTGCTTTCGCTCACAGAGCTCTTATTGGGACATTTAGTGCACTGGACGAAGCGCGCCACTTGCGATAGGTGTGTGTAGGAGCATGGATCTTGGAAGGTGTGATGTGAGGGGTACTGATCATTGTGGAAGTGGAGCTATGTCTGCAGTTTTCGCATCTGTTCTGGCAGGGTCTGGGGCATCTTTGAGTTGGTGTGTCCTGGTCTCTGGGGAACTTGCTTCTGATGATGAGGTTGAGGGATTGTGGAAGGCCAGAAGTGGGGATTCAGGAAAGATTTCTTTCAAGATGGGGTCCTCATTGAGTATGGGTTGTAGTTGTTTGATACCACCCAATACTGGAGCCCACGCAGGGTAAGTGACAACTAGGGGTGTGCAGTCAGAAGTTGGGTTTTTCTCCCCCTGTATTGAAGCAGGTTCTCTCAGGGTATTTCGGTGGCCTGTTCGATGACGTGGCCTACTTCCCTGGTAGAGTGTCCTTGTTTGGTGAAGGCACTTTCAAGCGTGTTAAGGTGTATATCCTAGACTTGATCCTCAGAGCATATTCATAGAATCATAGAATATCAGAGTTGGAAGGGACCTCTGGAGTCCAACCCCCTGCCCAGAGCAGGACCAATTCCCAACTAAATCATCCCAGCCAGGGCTTTCTCAAGCCTGACCTTAAAAATGTCTAAGGAAGGGGATTCCACCACCTCCCTAGGTAACGCATTCCAGTATTTCACCACCTTCCTAGTGAAAAAGTTTTTCCTAATATCCAACCTAAATCTCCCCAACTGCAACTTGAGACCATTACTCCTTGTCCTGTCATCTGTTATCACCGAGAATAATCTAGATCCATCCTCTTTGGATCCACCTTTCAGGTAGTTAAAAGCAGCTATCAAATCCCCGCTCATTCTTCTCTTCCGTAGACTAAACAATCCCAGTTTCCTCAGCCTCTCCTCATAAGTCATGTGTTCCAGTCCCCTAATCATTTTTGTTGCCCTTTGCTGGACTCTCTCCAATTTTTCCACATCCTTCTTGTAGTGTGGGGCCCAAAACTGGATACAGTACTCCAGATGAGGCCTCACCAATGTCGAATAGAGGGGAATGATCACGTCCCTCGATCTGCTGGCAGTGCCCCTACTTATACACCCCAAAATGCCATTGGCCTTCTTGGCAACAAGGGCACACTGTTGACTCATATCCAGCCCCTCCCACAGGAGCAATGGCTGGGGCAGGAGCAGCTGCAAGCCCGGGCAGCGCTCTGTTCCCCCCCTCCCCCCAGCCCCTAGAGTATTTTTAGTACAAGCCAGGGACAGGTCATGGGCTTCCTTGAATTTTTGTTTATTGCCCATGACCTGTCCCCTGGTTTTTACTAAAAATACCCGTGACAGAATTTTAACCTTAACTATTATGTATGCGCCTCACTTAATTAATCCTAGATCAAAGGTAGTATTGAGAGGAGAATTTACTTGATGTGTAAACTTCATGAAAACCAATGAATGTTACCTGTATTGTTTTCACTTATCCATCCCTATTATAATGAACAGCCAGCAATTGCGTTGTGTATATCACTGTAACTGGATTACTTGTGTATACATAGGAAGTAGAATGTTAATTTCAAAGCAAGCGGTCCTTGATGTGGTGACCTGAGGTCAAAGACTCAAAATGCATGTTGTGCAGGTGAGTGCTGTGTTGTGAGTGTAAGCGTTTGCCTGGCTGCTTTTCAGGGAAGACAGACACAGGCTCCGGTTTCCTCCGGGCCCCAAAGGTGCTCAACCCCCGGCCCCACCCTGCCTCTTCCCATCCCTGCTCCACCCCCTCTTCTGAATGGGAATGATACTTCATCTCTGGACTGATGAATTCTGATGGGGGGAATTCAGAGCAACTGTACAGAGATCCCTAGAGCCATTCTAGGTAACACTGAGAGACTTACTAGCAAATTACTACATCTCTGCTATCATATTGGACTTAAAAACTTTGCAAGTAAATCAATGTATTTTATCTGCTTTAACCTCTTAATAACTGTCATTTCTTTTTCTTCATTAATAAATCTTTAGTTAGTTTACTAGAGAAATTGGGTTCAGCATTGTCTTTGGTGAGATCTGGAGTATACCTGTGTGACAGGTTGGATCACAGAAACCGCCTTGGGACTGCCACCTGATCTGCTGAGACTACCTCTAAGCCCGTTTTCCCTGGCAGCTTGGGACTTCAGAACCCAGCCTGGTTGTGCCAGACACGCTGGCCTGCTACAAACACAGACCCAGGTCTGAACCACATCCCGCAAAAATTGCAGGCTTAACTGAAAACAGCTTAAGAAGTGTTCCTGTCTCCAACACTCAGATACCCAACTTCCAATGGGGTCCAAACCCCAAATAAATCCGTTTTGCCCTGTATAAAGCTTATACAGGGTAAACTCATCAATTGTTCGCCCTCTATAACCCTGATAGAGAGATATACACAGCTGTTTGCCCCCTCCCCCGGTATTAATACTTACTCTGGGTTAATTGATAAGTAAAAAGTGATTTTTTACTAAATACAAAAAGTAGGATTTAAGTGGTTCCAAGTAATAACAGACAGAACAAAGTGAATTACCAAGCAAAATAAAATAGAACATGCAATTCTAAGCCTAATACAGTAAGAAAACTGACTACAGATAAAATGTCACCCTCAGAGATGTTTCAATAAGCTTCTTTCACAGACTGGGCCCAATCCTTTCCCCTGGTAAAGCCCTTGTTCCAGCTCAGGTGGTAGTTAGGGGATTTCTCATGACTGAGAGCCCCCTTTGTTCTGTTCCACCCCCTTATATATCTTTTGCACAAAGCGGGAATCCTCTGTCCCTCTATGGGTTCCCACCCCTCCTTCTAAATGAAAAAGCACCAGGTTAAAGATGGATTCCAGTTCAGGTGACATGATCACATGTCACTGCAAGACTTCATTACCCACTTGCCAGCCCACAGATATACAGGAAGACTTACAAGTAAACAGAGCCATCTACAGTCAATTGTCCTGGTTAATGGGAGCCATCAAGATTCCAAACCACCATTAATGGCCCATACTTTGCATAATTACAATAGGCTAGGGGTGGCCAATCTGAGCCTGAGAAGGAGCCAGAATTTACCAATGAACATTGCCAAAGAGCCACAGTAATATGTCAGTAGCCCCCCATCCGCTACCCCCTTCCAGCCCCCAGTGCCTCCTGCCCACCGGCAGCCCCACCAATCAGCACCTCACCCTTCCTCCCCACGCCTCCCATCCTCCGCAATCAGCTGTTTTGCAGAGTGCAGGAAGCTCTGGTGGGGATGAGGAAGGAGCAAGGGCATGGCAGGCTCGGGGGCAGGGGTCTTGGGGCAGAGCAGGGGGTTGAGCAGTGAGCACCCCACAGCACAATGGAAAGTTAACATCTGTAGCTCCAGCCTCGGAGTCAGCACCTATGCAAGGAGTCGCATATTAACCTCCAAAGAGCTGCATGCAGCTCCGGAGCTGCAGGTTGGCCACCCCTGCAATAGCCCCTCAGAGTTATATTTCGTATTTCTAGTTTCAGATACAAGAATGATACATACATACAAATAGGATGACCACACTCAGTAGATTATAAGCTTTGTAATGATACCTTACAAAAGACCTTTTACATGAAGCATATTCCAGTTACATTATATTCACACTCACTAGCATATTTTCATAAAATCATATAGAGTGCAACGTCACAACCTGGACTTGGGGTAAATGACTGGCCCTTTGGGACTGGAAGAACCTAATACATTGTGCTTTTTGGTTTATGTGACCAATATCAGTAAGTCCAGTTTGTCCAGGTGGTAAGTTTGGCTGGACACCTAAGGGGACTGACTGCCTGTGGCTCCATGGTGAGACTAATACAGTAATCCAGGAGCACACATTTGTTACTGGCTTGGTGAAATCTAGTTATAGAACATACCACCAGTCTGGGCTGTCTCCCCTGTTTTCACTGACCGGAGACTGGCACTCTCAGGTGTGAGCCATTCCAGACACCATGACATATGGTTGTCTGTACAGTTCCATTGTTGAAGCTGATTGTGGTGTCAAGGAAGTTGATGCTAGTGTGGAAGTATTCCAGGGAGAGTTTAATGGACAGGTGGTGGTTGTTGAAGTTGTGGTGGAAATCTACAACTACACTGCAATACAAATTCAGAGCAGTCACCCCTGGAGCACACTGATCCTCTGCCTTTTTGCAAACAACAGATGCGCACGCTGGATTTCAGAGGAGGGCAACAACAATGAGAAAAAGGGCTAGGAGGTAAGGCCTATGGAGAAAGGTAAAGAAAACTGGGCATTTGGGATCTTGAGCATTGGTTACTCCTGGGGGAATACTGTGCCACTGCACATGTGCAGAATATATATTCCCCCCCCTCCCCCAGTTTTCTTTGCTTCCCCGCAGAAAAATGACTTTCTCACAGGGAAGCAAAGGGAAGCCACAAAAGCGGTCAGCCAGCAGAGAGGTAAATCAGTGTGGGGCAGAGGCAGACCCAGCAGTTGGCTCCTACCCTGTGCCAGGTTCAGCTGCTAGTCCTGGCTGGACTGGGGAGGGCTGGACTTCCTCTTCCCCTGCACGGCATCCAGGGTGGGTCAGACCCACCCCCAGATTTCTCCCCCAGCTGCAGGAAGCTCTGCAGACTCCCTCACTTCCTGCACCTATCATTCTTTAACTGCAGGGAGAGGGATCCTGTACAGGAAGCTGCTCCCCTTCCACCCAACCCCCGTGAATCCAGACCCCCTCATACCCAGACACTCCTGCTGAGCCTCACCCGTGCACTCAGAACCCCCCCGCTGAGCCCTACTCCCCCTGCACCACCCCCAACAAGCCACCCACACCTGGATCCCACCCCACCAAGTCCCACTCCCTCAGCATCTGGACCTCCCCATTGAGCCCCACACACCCACACCCCCCTCCCAAGCTCTATCCCCCACATACCCAGACACCCCCTGCTGAGCCCCAACTACCTTCACCTGGACCCCCCTGCAAAGTCCCATTACCATTGCACCCAGAACCACCCAACAAGCCCCTGTGCCTCTTGATTTCCCCCCTTCCCTCCCACATCTGGATCCCCCATTGAGCTGGCTGCACCCAAATTGTCCCACACAGAACCTTCTCAACCCACACATGGATCCCCCCACACTAAGCTCCTCTACACTTGGAACCTGCCTTGCTGAGCCACCCTGCCCACACCTGGTGCACCTGGCATGGAGAGGCAAGACCCTGGGGTGTTTCTGGGGCAGGCCTGGTCCTTGCGCTGTGTCAGGGTTGAGTGCAGCCTCACTGCTGAGTCCATGTCGGGGGGAGGAGGGGGAGCAGCACAGTGATCTCCCACCCCTGTGCAGCCAGTGGCCTTTGGTCCCCAATGCCATGTTGGAGCCTCCACATTTATTTGACAAATGAAATGTGCTGAATTTTGCAGAATTTTTAATTTTTTGGAGCAGAATTTTTATTTATTTATTTATTGGTGCAAAATGCCCTCAGGAGTAATTGGTGTCTGTCCTTTGTAGCTCTAGTGCCAAACGTTATGTCAGAAAGATCAGGCAGCCACAATCAATACTTTAGGGTAGATTCTCTGCTTTGTTCCCCTCCCTTCCCTCTTCTGATGTGGAGCAAAGGAAAGGAAACCACCCCCAACCCCTGCTGGGAATGCTACTGGTGTGGGAGAAGCCCCCAGCACTGGTGTATAGCTTTATAGCCAACTCTTACACCGCTGATGGAAAGGGGTGCCCTCGGGTGAGATGGAAGTGGCTGGAGTGTTCTACACTCTGGCTGTCCCCAGTTGGTGTATGGTCCCTTGTGGACTGTTGCCAGCTGGCATAAGTTAGAGCAGCATCTCCCAAACTGTTCTGTGTTAGGGCTGGGGCGGAGACTGGGAGAGGTGTAACTGGTTTTTGGTTCTTGGCTTCCCCTGCACTTTCCCTCACCTGGGCTGTCCCTGTAGAAGAGGGGAGCCATCTTTTAACAGGCACTGCTCTAGCCTCAGGCAGAGTCAGCTGAGTTCCGCCCCTGCCGCTAGCAGTGGTTTATTGTTAGATATCACAATGTCACTCCCACCACTGCTTATTTATTGCAGCCCAGCAGGGATGCCGGTGATGGAGCACCCAGCACTCCCTTCTCCCCTTCCCCTGTGATGCAGACAAGAGACAGCAGCTTCTAAGAGCTCTGCCAGCTCATACCCGCTGCAACCCCCAGTGCAGCTCTGAAGTGGTGGGAGGCTGCTGGGGGGACACAGCAATGCAGTTGATTCAGGCTACGTCTTCACTACTGCCTATGTCGGCAAAACTTATGTCACTCAGGGGTGTGAATATTCCATCCCCGTGAGTGACATAAGTGCTAGTGTGCACGGTGCTAGGTCGGAGGGAGAGCTTCTCCCACTGACATCACTTACGTTGCTCAGGGAGGTCTTTCTCCTGTCGGCACAGAGCGTCTTCACCAGACGCACTGCAGTGCTGCATGTGTAGACCTGCGCTTAGACACTTCCATTTAAAAATGGAGGGTCTGGCTCAGCTCGTAATCAAATACGTATTATCTACTTTGCACCCTCCAGGGCCACAGGTTGGACGTTCCTGGCCAAAGATGCAAGAGGCCAAAGGGGGAAGGAGAAAGAGAGCAGAGCTCAGTCCAACGATAAGATGCTGGCCCCAGCCCAAGGACGCTGCTCACAGCTGAGACTTGGCTGACAGCTGAGGAAGATGGGGGCATGAATGTGCCCGAGCAGCTGTGAGAAAGAAAAACCCAACTGCACAGACCTGCAAGGCCGTGAGGCCAGCAAAGAAGAAAACAAGATCTAAGACTGCAGAGATTGAAAACACCGGCGAGACGGCAAGAGGGGGAGCCGAGCCTTGTGTCCCTGGAGCCGGGGTGTTTTGAGAAAGCTGAAGACACAATGGAAAGCTGGTTTGGACTGGCACAGAGGGCACCAGGAGCAGATGTCCCTGAACGAAGCACCCCCCCCACCCCAAAGGAGCCCGGGACTTAAAACCCTCCTGAGAGCTGGAGCAATCTGGAGATCACAGTGGACCATGGACGACCCATGCATGGGACAAGAACTCCCGTCCACCCCTCCCCCTCTTCTTCTCACCCAGGCTTGGCCAGCCTCAGGTAGTGCGGGTGTGAGTATGAAAGTGGGTTAGGGCTTGGGGCACTAACGCTTCCTTCCTCTGAGTGATGCGGGGAGCACCCATCACTCTCCACTGTTGTTTTATTATTTTATCAATAAAGCTTTAAAATGTAGACACGTGGTGTGTTACCTCATCTCCTCCCTTAACAATCCTGTGGCCTCAGACTGATCACCTGATGCTTCAGGCAGATTGGTAACAAAAATCTGTCACACTTTCTCCTCATGTTCGGTATCAATCACCTTTTGTTTAATTTTTCTAATTTGAAATGCAAAGTATCATCATAAGGAACAAATCACGTGATTGGGGAAATCATTTATCATAATGGTGTCCAGGTTTTGCCAGAATGGTGAAACGTCTTGGGAGGAAAGAAGGATGAAAATGAAAAAAACTGTAGGTCACCTTAAATAAATACAGGCATAGCATAAAAGCATTGATTTCATGGCTTTAGAACCAAGGATAAATAGGTTAATTGCTGGCTGTGAGCTCACTTTAAAAAACTGGTATGAGGAAAACAGAACCCTATTTCAGAACCACCTTCCTTTTCTCTAGCCAGGGAAGATGAAAATGCTTTCCCAGTGTTTAACACCACAATATTTAGTGACTGTCAGCAACTTCTGCTCAGGGAGGGGGGGCAAACTGAGGCAGAGAATCCTATAGTAATAAAATCAGAGCCGAGCACTAATAGCTTTTTCGTCCTGTCTGTGTGGCTTCTGGAATGTCTGGAGAAATATGAACTCCAGCATGATTAAAGAAAGCATGTTCCTTTTCTTCGAGACAAGTTACAAGGAGATGCAAATAGAGTCAAGGTGACAAGCACCCAGCTGTGGGATGCAACCAGCCTGCTTGGTGGCTTTAAAGCAGGCGAGGAGGCATTCACATTCTGGAATTGACTGTCACTGAAACACAAAAGTGAGTCTCTAGCCTTCCTGTGCCTGCTAAAATCTTCCAAATGTGAACCAAGTGTAAGTGAAGCAGCAGGAGCTTCTCACGTCTGGGACTCAGATTCTGAGAGATGTGATCTTCCCTGTCCCCGTTCCCTGCCAACTGTATGGACACTCTTTAAAAGCACCATTATAGAGGCTCAAACTAAATGTACCCCCACTCCCAAAAAATACCACCATGGCTTAACAACAGAATAAAAGAAGTGGTTAGAGGCAAAAAGGCATCCTTCAAAAACTGGAAGTCAAATCTTACTGAAAAATAAATAGAAAGGAACATAAGTTCTGGCAAGTCAGTGGGAAAGTATGCTAAGGCAGGCCAAGAAAGAATTCGAAGAACAACTAGCTAACGACACTAACAGCAACATTTTGTGTAAGTATACCCACCAAACAGGCAGTGGGGCCACTGGACAATTGAGGTACTAAACGAGCACTGAAGAAAGACAAGGCTGTTGCAGAGAAGCTAAATACATTCTTTGGATTGGTTTTCACTGTAGAGGATACAGGGGAGATCCCCACCCCCGAGCCATCTGTCCCAGCTTGAGGTGTCAATAGAGGAGGCTTTGTCACAAGTTAATAAATTAAACAGTAATAAGTCACCAAAACCAGACGGTATCACGCAAGGGTTCTGAAGGAACTCAGATGTGAAATTGCAGAACTACTAACGGTGGTATTTAACCTATTGCTTAAATCAGCCTCTCTGTCAGATGACTGGAAGGTAGCTAATGCAACCCTGATTTTTTAAAAATGCTCCAGAGGCAGTCCTGGCAATCACAGCCTAACTTCCATACCAGGCAAATTGGTTGAAAGTACCATAAAGAAGAGAATTCTCAGACACCTAGATAAATGCGATATGTTGAGGAAGAGTCAGTCAACCTGGCTTTTGTAAAGGGCAATCATGCCTCACCAATCTCTTAGAATTCCTTGAGATCTACAAACATGGATAAGGATGATCCAGTGGATAGAGTGTACTTGGACTTTCAGAAAGCCTTTGACAAGGTCGCTCATCAAAAGCTCTTCAGCAAACTAATCCCATAATCAGTCATGGGATAAGATGGATCAGTAACTGGTTAAAAGACAAGAAACAAAAAACAAAAAAAGTAGGAATAAATGGTTAGTTTTCACAACGGAAAGAGGTAAATAGCAGATGCACCCAATGATTTGTACTGGGACATGCTACTCAACATATTCATAAATGATCCAGAAAAGGGAGTGAGGTGGCAAAATGTGCAGACAATACTAAATTACTCAAGATAAGTAAGTCCAAAGCAAACTGTGAAGAGTTACAAAGGGACCTCACTAAACTGGGTGATTGGGCAACAAAATGGCAGATGAAATTCAGTGTTGATAAATGCAAAGTAATGCACACTGGGAAAAATAATCCCAACTATATGTACAAAATGATGGGGTCTAAATGAGCTGTTACCACTCAAGAAATAGATCTTGGAGTCACTGTGGATAGTTCTCTGAAAACATCCCCTCAATATGCAGTTTTCAGAGTAACAGCCGTGTTAGTCTGTCTTTGCAAAAAGAAAAGGAGTACTTGTGGCACCTTAGAGACTAACCAATTTATTTGAGCATGAGCTTTTGTGAGCTACAGCTCACTTCAATATGCAGTGGCAGTCAAAAAAGCTAACTAAGTTAGGAATCATTAGGAGAGGGATAGATAAAGAGAAAATATTACAATGCTACTATATAAATCCATGGTACGCCCACACCTGGAATACTGTGTGCAGTTTTGGTTACCCTATCTCAAAAAAGATATAATTGGAACAGGTGCAGCGAAGAGCAACAAAAATGACGAGGGGGACGGAACAGCTTCCATAGAAGGAGAGATTGAAAAGACTGGGACTGTTCATTTTAGAAAAGAGACAACTGAGGGGGTGAAAATAGAAGTCTATAAAATCAGGAACGTATGAAGAAAGAGAATAGGGAAGTGTTATTTTCCCCTTGACATAACACACAAACTAGGGGTCACCCAATAAAATTAATAGGCAGCAGATTTAAGACAAACAAAAGGAAGTATTTCTTCACACAACGCATAGTCAACCTGCCATCAGATGTTGTGAAGACCAAAAGCATACCTGGATTCAAAAAATAATTAGGTAAGTTCATAGAGGATGAACAGTCAATGGCTATTAACCAAGATGTTCAGGAACGCAACCCCATGTACCAGGGTATCCTTAAACCAACAACTTCCAGAAGCTGGGACTATTAGGGTGGGGGGAGCAGGTGGGGTGGAGCAGGAATTGCTCTAGGGAAGGAAATGTAGAGCGGAGAAAGGTTAAAGATAATGGTGGTCCTGAGAGAGAGCCTGTTTCCTAGTGAGTGATGCTGAATGTGACAGGCTTCTGAACCAACCCTTAATAATGAGTGGGATTCTGCTGTGGATCGAGCAGTATGGAGTCCTAAACTTAGACCATGGGCCATCATGAAATTGGAATTGTTCCTTTCCACAGAATGAGCCTGACCCACTGAAATACAGTAATCAAGGTGGAGAGGTTTGTGGGAACCCTAAAATCATTCCTGGTATTGTCCAACGCCAAGCATTCAAAAGTCCTGCATCAGGCACCCCAAATTCCTGAGACTGGCTGCAATATACTGGGGTTCTGTTCACTGGTCTCCTAGGATTTGAGCTTTTGGGGGCAGTCACACTGAGATTTCCTCTGTACCCAAGAGAGCTAGAAACTTCCATCTCGTTTTCAAATGGAAGCTGAGATCCTCACATAATCACCTAACCCTAGGAGCTGGGGATTTGAGAAACAGCCCAGCGATTGTGAGATTAACAATATCTGAAGGGAGGGTCAGAGGATGCAGACACAAAGCATAAAGGAATAAAAGGCACTTCCCCCTTCCGCTCTCAAAGGCAAAGCCAGAACATGAATGTTGGACCCTTTGGCAGAACGTTGTGAAAGGCCCACTTTCAATGTACAAAGGAATTCTGTGGGCGAGACACCTGCAGACGCTATTATACCTCGGTCCTCAGGTTCAGACACAGTTGCTCCCTTCCCCATCTCTTCCCTTTTTTTCTGCCACCTTAGTCCTACACTGTAGCCGTTGGCTTAGCAGGCACTGAATTGAGTTTGATTAGTAATCAAGTGTTCCTTGCAGCCCCTCGATGGCAGAAAGAGGGATCGTGATGATTCTTTAGGTGTTGCAGCAGAAGTGGGTTAAGACAGCTGGGGATTTATCTGCCAGTTTAGGGCTTCTGATGCCATAGCACCAATCGGGGCTGCGATGGAGCCTGCATTGCAGAGGATGATGTCCTTGCACCACTTCATGGCCTCTTAGGGCTGGTGTTTCAGATAGAAATACTCCTTATAGAGCCCTATGGTTCTCCTAGCTCTGCTTTGGGAATACAGTCAGACAAGTCTGGGAGGCATCAAGAGCTTGATTTCTAGGAGGGCTGAGCACCCACAGCTGAACGTGGAACAATTTACCAAGAGTCCTGGTGGATTCTTTATCACTGACAATTTTTCAGCCAAGATGGGATGTTTCTTTCAAAGCTCTGCTCTAGGAATTAAGTTCGGGCAGGTCTCTTACCTGTGCTCTACAGGAGGTCACACTAGAAGGTCACAATGGTCCTTTTTTCCCTTGGAATGTATGAAATCGATGAACTAGAGCTAAAGGGAATTGCTGGTTCTTGGCATCTCTGGAAATGAGGATACAAATGGCCAGAAACAATCCATCGGAAGAGGTGCTCACAAGCACAGAAAAGTATTTTTTAAAATGGCCCCGAGATGAGTTCTGATGTCTCTAAAACCACCCAAACTGCCGTTCCCGTCCCTACACTCATCGCTTTTCAAGAACATGGTAAAACCACCTATAAAAGTAACCACAGGCAATGAGACAGGGAAACCAGAGAGAGTGTGCCCATAAAGCAGCACAACGGCGGAGAGGGGCAAGGACACCTCTGGTCCCAGGAGTTGCTTACTCCCTTGCCCCAGCCATAGGAATAGCCCAGAAAGCAACAAAGCTAAATTCTCCTTTCATCACTTCACCCCATTAGTCCTAGTTCTACTCCCCATGTATCATGCCAAAGAACCCTGCTCCCTTCCTGATGTTCTTGCCTTGTAGTGGTGTAGACGGGTGTCTCTCGCTCATCATTAAGGACAAAAAGGGCTGTTCTAGAGGGAGAGGGATCTGTTCTTAGCACTGGTGCCAAGGACAGAAGTGATGGGCTTAGGTTTTAATAGAGAAATGTGGGTTAAGCACTAAGCCAAATGTCATGGACCACTTGCAGCCTCAGCTCTCTGAAGTCTGGAGTTGACACTGGGCAGAATGTGGCCCTATAATTACGGAGAATGAGAACAAGGTAGCGAACAGCTCAGTGAGGTTGGGAAATCACCACTGCAACTATTCAAGGCTCAGCCTGGCTGCCATCTAGTGGGGATGACTTGGAGTGAGCTCAGTTAACCCAGCCTCGCTGTAAGGGGAATGGACACAGGCCCCTTCCATTCCAGCGGGTCTGTGAATCGCTGGTAGCAAGAGAAGACAGCTGCTGCTGGCTAACCTCCATGTTCCCCTCAGAGTTCAGCAGAATTAGCCTGGGTGATCAGCACCGGGTGTGAGCACTGGGTTAGTCTAACCTGGCTGTGAGCAGCCACACTGCAAAGCCCTGCCCAAGTTACTGCGTCCCCACTGGTGCTGCGCTCCCCTGTGGGTCGCTAGCACCTTTGGGGCATAGCCCATGGTTCTTTGTGCTGCTGTAAGGTGAGCCGCTGTATGACTGTTTCCCAGTGCATTTGTGGAACACGCCTGTCCTGGGCACCTGGGGGGGACTGTGGGAAGGCAGAGGTGGACAGTCAGCACTCGAGTGATTTAGCTTGCATCCTCGCGGCAAAGTGAGCAGGCTCCCAGCCGCAGTGAAAGCAGCACCATGCTCGAACCCACCCTCAGCTGGGGCAGCTAGCCCGGGTGGAAAGCCCAGGAGAGAGGGTTTTATATGCAGAGGGGAGGGGACAAGAGCCTGGGCTAACTACAGTGAAGACGCCCCTGGTGTTGATATCCCTAATGGGAGACTCCAGCTATTTACCAAGAAGGATGTGGCTGAAACTCACTTATCTGACTGTCCTGGGGACTCAAAGTCTGGCTACCAGAGGGAATGATCAGAGTGTGTACTGGATCTCAGGGATGGGGCCCTCTAGGATGTCAGTGCTGTAGGATCTAGATAGCTGGAGGGGCTGCTGTCTTGCTAGGAAAAGCCATTTTATAGAGATGTGGCAGCAGGAGCTTCAAGGCTGATGCTATGGTTGTCCTGTCACAAAGAGAAGGCACTTCCCCAGGGGAAGGGGCTGGTGAGAAGCTGAAGGCACTTCTGGCAGTTCAGAGGAAAGCTACAGGTGGAAAGTGTGCAGGCAGCCGGAGGAGAGACCTTGAGCTTTGTGCCAGTGTTGAATGTGCAGACGCTGTCCTTCAGGAAGGTGCCGACGCTGACTGTGGCAGGGCCCCCATGGGACATGCCCTGTCTTATCTGGAGAGGAGAGAGAAGAGCAACAGTTCACCAGTGCAGCCTGGCAGCACAGGCCACACAGTGGCTCTTTCGCCCCAGGAGGGACTTTGCATTCGCTAAGGATGCCATGTGTGTGGGAGTCTCATTTCTAGGCCGGAGCTCCTTCAGGCAAGCCTGGGGAACTCCCTTAGCTCTTAGGGATATCATACCCTTGAAGGCAGCAGGAGCAGGGTAGAGCACAAGGCTGGTCCCTGCTGAATATAAATGCAGCTCTCTGAACGTCCTGTCACTTCCTTCCTCAGCAAAGACGGTCACTGCAAGACAGACACTGGCTCTTCCACCAGTGATTCTGCATCCCAGTGGTGCTCATCAATATCCCTTCCTCTGCCTCCTAGTCTGATCCAGTAAATGGGCCATTGCCTCTGATCTCCAGGGTCAGGGGTTTTGGGGAAGGGGATGGGGAGAGACTGAATTTGGGGAGCTTGAGAGAGGTTTTTACTTGTGCACATCTGTCCACTCTGCAGGGGTTTTACAACTGGTTTACACATGTGCCCGGAACTCTGGGTGCCCTCCATCATAACGAACAGTCTTTTGCTCTTCTGTGACTCCCCCCAATCGGTCAGTGCCTTGCTGGTGATGCTGTGCCCAGAACAGTCAGCTCGCCCTTGCTCCATCATTTGCTGTCTCTGTGTTTAACGCAAATCACTGGCTTATTGCACTACAACTTGTGGCTACCAAAGCCCCAAGCTCCCGCTCAGCAGCGCTGCTTCCTGGCTGGGGGTTTGTTTTGGGTGTTTTTTTCACAAAAGGAATTTTCTGCATTTCTCCACCATGAATCTCATTTTGTTATTTCCTGCCCACGTTTCTACACTCTGGGATTGGCCATGTCCCTGTTAATGGTCCCAACCCCGCCAACTTACTCCTCTCTCTTCCTTCACAATGACAGATATTTGATAAAAGCAGGTCTAACACTGTTCTTCCCACAGGATACATTGCTGCAGATCATTTCCTTTCTTTCCTGAGCCTCCTGCCGGTTTTCCATCCCAAGAGTATCACATCCAGCCCAGTGGGAGATCATTTCAGCTAAGAGTGTAATAAACTCAGGGGTGAAAGTAAGGCAGTACAGGCCGGTATGGTGTACCGGTAAAAAGTAGCCACCAGTACCGGCCCTACCGTTTTAATGTCGCTGCCCCTTTTGCGCCCCCCCCCATCGGCAGCCCTGCCGGGTCCCTGCCAGCAGGGCCACTGATGAGGGGGCACAAAAGGGGCAGCAATGTTAAAGCCCCGGGCCCTTTAAATCACCGCTGGAGCCCCGGGCAGCACGGGCCAGGGAGCGCAGATGGACTGGCTGGGGGATGCTGACTCCCAGCCCCACCTCTTCCGCCCGAGGCCCTGCCCCTTCTGGGGGGGCCAGAGCGGCTCCGTGCTGGTAAGAGCTCCATTTTACACTCACCCCTGAATAAACTTCTGCTTTACTAATATCCAGCTATTGTAGCTGCTGCATTCCCATTCTCCACTACCTTTATGGTTCAGTCTCAGAGAAGCTATTGTTTGGCTGAGATGATTTGCCCCTTCTCCCCATGCTGCTTCCTGCTCAGAGTTCCAGGGCCCTAGAGAGGATTACAGAGTTTTCTGTTTATTACATTGCTTCACTAGGGCTTGAAATTGCACTCCCCGGATGCCGAGTTTCCCTCCCCTCTTGCTTCTTTCCTCTTCCTTCCTGGAGAGCTGTAACTCTTGTGGCTTCCCCTGTGTTTCCCTAGAATTAAAAGTCCTTTTCTGTGATACGTGTCACTCATTTCTTCAAGCACAAAGCTGCTCTAAGAAGAGAGGATTAGCCACAGAAAGTTTTGACTACTAGAACTTGTCTGTCCAGGCCTTTTCCTTCAAACAGCCAGTGTCTACGGAGAGATTTTAGTTCAGTTCAGAGGATGGGGAGATCTAAGTCGCCTGAACCCTAACGTAAGGGGAGAAGCTGCCGTCGAAGTAGAATCTAGATCTGCCAGACCCTGGTCAATCTGGAATCAGGAATGGAAGGTGAATTTACATGCTACATCTGGAACGAGAGCCCTGTCCCTTCAAAACATGTGCAGTTACTGGTCATAGTAGAAATGTTTGTTGAGAGACTCCAGAAGAAGATACTTACTGTGGGGCTGGTTCTAATGGCCTGGGAACAGATAGAACTTTTTTATCATGGTAGTTCTTTCCTTCGTGGGCATCTGATGAGGAAAATTTTGAAAAGAGAGCTGGACCTGAGATTGGGGAGGAGAGGTCAGATCAGTCACAATTCCAGGGGACCGGCAGCACTTTAAACACAAAACAATCTGCTGCTAGAAAGCATGGACCTTGAATAACGTTGGGGAGAACAGGGAGAATCAGGAGCAGAAATTCCCCTGGGAATCTGCATGATGATCATGACAGCCAGGCTGCACCTCTACCTCCACTAGAGCACCTGCGTGCTCGAGCCACTTCTGGTACAAACACCTCACATGCTATGCATGTCACAGTGCATGCCTGCCATGGCAGCCATGCCCAGGCTGCTCCTGTCGGGCCCAAGAACACAAGGAACGCTGCTGTGGTCACCAAAACCCTTTCTGAACGAACTCTCCAGGGCAGTGGCTCTTTGAGAACTGGATGGCAGGGTGGAGCTGGAAGGTTCCATGGCAGCTGGTGAGAGAGACAAAGAAAAAGGGGCTGGATGGGGAAAGGCAAGCTCAGGATGGGGCAGGTAACAGTGTGGAGGAACCAGGGTCCCAGGCGGGAGAAGAAATGGACAAAAACCTGCCCCCACCAGAAGGCTTGGAGAGAAGATGGGGAGAGGGTCTGGGCTTGATGCAGAAATTATTGGGTGAGGTTCCCTGACCTGCGTTATGCAGGAGGTCAGATTAGATCATTGCAATGGTTCCTTCTGGCCTTAAACAATGTGATTTGTGTGAGTCAGATTGACACAGAGAATGTCCCCACGGTCACTTCCCAGCAGAGCTGCAGGGTCTGCACTTACCAGCTGTGTAGTGGAGGAAAGTAAGTAAATTGTTTGTTTCTGAAATGTACGTTACTGGACCATCTTTGGAACAACAGCTTGGGTGGGTATGGATGGAGGGAAGTTTCAAAGCAGAACCCCACCCCAGGGCTGGCCCCAGGCCCACAAAGGGATTTAGGCACCTGCAGCCCAATTTTAGGCACCATTGTGGCCCACAAAACTGCCACATAAACTCTATACTTCTACTGGAAACGCCTCCTAGACGCCTATATTCCTGCCGCTGGCCATGCACTCAAAGGCCCATCTCCCACCTAACTCTCAGCACAGTCCTCAAGCTAGGTGGAGACAGACATTCCCCCTAGGGTGACCAGACAGCAAGTGTGAAAAATCAGGACAGGGGTTGGGGGGTAATAGGCGCCTATATAAGACAAAGCCCCGAATATCAGGACTGTCTCTATAAAATTGGGACATCTGGTCACCCTAGTTCCCCCACCTATCTTGCCTGTGGGGGACAGTCCAGCAGGTGTGCTCTGAGCATGCCTAACTCCATACAAAACAACTGGGGGATGGGGAGAGGACAGGAAGATGTGTCCTCTATCCCCCTGCTTAGGGCAGTCACCTGGGATGTGGGAGACCCCCGTTCAATTCCCTGCTCTGCCTGATGAGGAGGTGGGATTAGAACAGGATGAGCACTCTGACCACTGGACCATAGGGTCACTCACACTCTGTCTCCAGCCCAGTTAATTATTTATCCATAGAGGAATGGCTGCAACAGGAGCGACCAGGGAGCCCCACAACAGACTATCCTAGAGCCCAGTGGTTAGTGTCCTCTCCTGAGACTCCTACTCAAGCAGATGAGGAACTTGAAGCTGGGTCTCTCTCATCCCAGGGGAGCCCTGACCACTAGACTAAGGTTTTGAGGGAGGATACGATTTTGTCACGGATTCTGTGACTTTAACAAACCTCTGTGAGTTCTTTGGCTTCAGCTCCAGCCTCTGCCATAGGCGCTGGAATCCCCCCCACCCACCACCCCACTTGGGTTGTCAGTGTCCCCACACAGGGCTCGAGCTTCACTCCCCCAAGTGGTCAGACCCCCCTGTTATTTTTAGGAAAAGTCAGGGACGGGTCACGAGCTTTTGTGAATTTTTGTTCGTTGCCCGCGCCCTGTCTATGATTTTTACTAAAAATACCCATGACAGAATGTTAGCCTTAGTTATGACAGAGGACGCCCCCACCCCTGGTCATATGGGGTGGAGCTGGGCTGCACCACCGCTGTTCCTGCAAGAAACAGCTCACACAGAGGGGTTCCTGGCTGTGGAGCACAAGGGGAGACAGGCACCTCCCTGCAGCCTGGGTTTAGGTGCCTAACGCTCTGCGAGGGATGGGGCTTAGCACACACCCCTCTCATTGGCATCTCCCATTGGCCAGCTTAGGTGGCTCCCCACCTACCACGCTGGCTTTTGTGGATGCCATCCTTTGGGCCTGTCTCTCCCCATGCACCTCACAGGGAGGTGGAATCCACTAGGTGGCAGGTGGCTTCCAATTCGGCACTGCAAGGCCTACGTCCCTTTGTGGATCCGGCCAGGCCGTTGCCCCTCCACTCAGATTCCCCTGAAGACGTGCGCTGTGAACTCTGCTAAGATTCCCCTGGTCAAACAGACACGGAGCACGTTTTTAATATACTGTGGATGCCTGTAGGGGATGATCTGCATGAGCAGCCAGAGCTCCTCATGGGGCTGGGGACAGGTCCCTGCTGTGGTACTGCTGATGGTTAGCAGGGGAGCGTGTTCCCAGTCACCCAGCAGGAAGGACAGAGTCACCTTTCGGAAGATCTCCTCCAAGGGGAAGCGCCAGGCATTGGTTCGGAGCTGCTCTATCAGGTAGGTGATGAAGACGGAGCCAGTTTTTGGAGATCTCCAGGACAAAGTGTCTGTGGAGAAAAAGGGCTGTTACACAACTTGGAGCAGGGCTGCTTCTCCCTCTAGACTATAACAGACACGGGAGATGTGGGGGCTGGGGCTGGCGAAGGGATTTCACCCTTCACAGAGCAGCTGGGAGTGCACAATGAGGCTGAAGATAAGGGAAGAGAAGAGGAATTACTAGGAGGGCAAAGCTGAGCGGTTCTGGCCAGTCGCTGCGGGGTGGGGGGGAGGAACAGGCGGGTCAGGCTGGTAAGGCTGTTCATTGGCGATCGAGGGCTGCGAGGGATTGCCACAGACACAGCACTATGGCAAGCAGACCCATTCATAGCTGAGGCCAGAAGGGGCCTGTGCCAGGGTGGCTTCCCCATGGGCTGGAGAGCTGAAGGCTAAGCCAGCCCTGTTGACAAGGATGAGCCATGCCTCAGGAGAACCAAGTGGTCCCATGGTAAAAGGCAGCCAGAATCTGCAGGCTGAGGGTGGCTGAGCCTGCCAGAAGCAGGAGAAAGCTCTCCAGGCAGGGAGAGACGGACAGACCCTCAGGGTGGAGGGGCTGGGCCCAGCTGTAGCTGTAGCTTACGAAAGCTCACGCTCAAATCAATGGGTCAGTCTCTAAGGTGCCACAAGTCCCCCTGTTCTTTTTGCGACTACAGACTAACAGGGCTGCTGCTCTGAAACCTGCCTCAGGCTGTGGTTTGTTTTGAAAGCCTTTGTGTTAGATGCTGAGAGAGGGAGCCTAAAATACAGTCAGGGGACCAGTGTGCACCGGAGGCTCAATACACAGGATCCTTTGTGTCTGAATTACTCTGTGAACTGTGACGTCTCCACGGGCTGCAGAAGAGACGAGACAGCCACAGAGAGGCTGGAGAGCAACCTCCAACCACGAGAAGGTGCTTGGGAGGCAATAGGTGGCCACACAGCTCCAGGGCCATTACAATGATCTAAGCCAGGGGTTTCCAAACTTTGCTCCCCCAAGGACTCCTTTGGCATTTTACTAAGTGTCCTGGACCCCTTTCATTCCCAGTCCTAGCAGAACGCCCTGCCAGTGCGACCCCCACACAGTGCGGTCACACTGCACGGGGGATGCCGTTTTGGTCTAAAAAGGGCTCCTCCATGCAGCAAAAGTGCCAGAACATTGTTCCGGCATATTCTGGCCCTGGCTCAAGGGACGGACCCTCATGTGACCCATGGTGGACCCCACTTTGGGAACTATTGATCTCCTGTACAGCACAGGCCAGAGAACAAATGGAAAGGGCAAAAGCAGAACAGATCTGAGTCTCTGGTTATCCCAGAGAGGGACTGTCACCTGCAAGGCTTTCTGGAAAGCTCGCTAGCTAGAGGGCTTCCCATTCCAAGTCTCTGGGTCACAGATCTCCTGCAGGAAATCCAGGGCTGTTGGGCCCTGACTGTACTACAGTACCATACCCTGTTACCCCCACTCTTTGTCTTCACCCATAACTATTTTACATCTGGGGACAATGTAGACCTTCAGATCAGCGGCACTGCTATGGGTACCCGCATGGCCCCACAGGATGCCAACATTTTTATGGCTGACTTAGAACAACGCTTCCTCAGCTCTCGTCCCCTAACGCCCCTACTCTACTTGCGCTACATTGATGACATCTTCATCATCTGGACCCATGGAAAAGAAGCCCTTGAGGAATTCCACCATGATTTCAACAATTTCCATCCCACCATCAACCTCAGCCTGGTCCAGTCCACACAAGAGATCCACTTCCTGGACACTACAGTGCTAATAAACGATGGTCACATAAACACCACCCTATACCAGAAACCTGCTGACCGCTATTCCTACCTACATGCCTCCAGCTTTCACCCTGACCACACCACTCGATCCATCGTCTACAGCCAAGCTCTGTGATACAACCGCATTTGCTCCAACCCCTCAGACACAGACAAACACCTACAAGATCTCTATCGAGCATTCTTACAACTACAATACCCACCTGCTGAAGTGAAGAAACAGATTGATAGAGCCAGAAGAGTTCCCAGAAGTCACCTACTACAGGACAGGCCTAACAAAGAAAATAACAGAACGCCACTAGCCGTCACCTTCAGCCCCCAACTAAAACCCCTCCTACACATTATTAAGGATCTACAACCTATCCTGAAGGATGACCCAACACTCTCACAAGTCTTGGGAGACAGGCCAGTCCTTGCCTACAGACAGCCCCCCAACCTGAAGCAAATACTCACCAGCAACCACACACCACACAACAGAACCACTAACCCAGGAACCTATCCTTGCAACAAAGCCCGTTGCCAACTATGCCCACATATCTATTCAGAGGTCACCATCACAAGGCCTAATAACATCAGCCACACCATCAGAGGCTCGTTCACCTGCACATCCACTAATGTGATATATGCCATCATGGATTCACCAAGGGAAGGTCATGCCTGACCAATCTAATCGCCTTCTATGATGAGATTACTGGTTCTGTGGATGAAGGGAAAGCAGTGGATGTATTGTTTCTTGACTTTAGCAAAGCTTTTGACACAGTCTCCCACGGTATTCTTGTCAGCAAGTTAAGGAAGTATGGGCTGGATGAATGCACTATAAGGTGGGTAGAAAGTTGGCTAGATTGTCGGGCTCAACGGGTAGTGATCAATGGCTCCATGTCTAGTTGGCAGCCGGTGTCAAGTGGAGTGCCCCAAGCCTGCAGAAGAGAAGAATGAGGGGGGATTTGATAGCTACTTTCAACTACCTGAGAGGTGGTTCCAGAGAGGATGGTTCTAGACTATTCTCAGTGGTAGAAGAGGACAGGACAAGGAGTAATGGTCTCAAGTTGCAGTGGGGGAGGTTTAGGTTGGATATTAGGAAAAACTTTTTCACTAGGAGGGTGGTGAAACACTGGAATGCGTTGCCTAGGGAGATGGTGGAATCTCCTTCCTTAGAAGTTTTTAAGGTCAGGCTTGACAAAGCCCTGGCTGGGATGATTTAATTGGGTATGGGTCCTGCTTTTGAGCAGGGGGTTGGACTAGATGACCTCCTGAGGTCCCTTCCAACCCTGATATTCTATGATTCTATGATTCTATGTGCCAGCAATGCCCCTCTGCCATGTACATTGGTCAAACTGGACAGTCTCTACGTAAAAGAATAAATGGACACAAATCAGATGTCAAGAATTATAACATTCATAAACCAGTCGGAGAACATTTCAATCTCTCTGGTCACGCGATTACAGACATGAAAGTTGCTATATTACAACAAAAAAACTTCAAATCCAGACTCCAGCGAGAAACTGTTGAATTGGAATTCATTTGCAAATTGGATACAATTAACTTAGGCTTGAATAGAATCATAGAATCATAGAATATCAGGGTTGAAAGGGACCCCTGAAGGTCATCTAGTCCAACCCCCTGATCGAAGCAGGACCAATTCCCAGTTAAATCATCCCAGCCAGGGCTTTGTCAAGCCTGACCTTAAAAACCTCTAAGGAAGGAGATTCTACCACCTCCCTAGGTAACGCATTCCAGTGTTTCACCACCCTCTTAGTGAAAAAGTTTTTCCTAATATCCAACCTAAACCTCCCCCCACTGCAACTTGAGACCATTACTCCTCGTTCTGTCATCTGCTACCATTGAGAACAGTCTAGAGCCATCCTCTTTGGAACCCCCTTTCAGGTAGTTGAAAGCAGCTATCAAATCCCCCCTCATTCTTCTCTTCTGCAGGCTAAACAATCCCAGCTCCCTCAGCCTCTCCTCATAACTCATGTGTTCTAGACCCCTAATCATTTTTGTTGCCCTTCGCTGGACTCTTTCCAATTTATCCACATCCTTCTTGTAGTGTGGGGCCCAAAACTGGACACAGTACTCCAGATGGGGCCTCACCAATGTCGAATAGAGGGGGACGATCACGTCCCTTGATCTGCTCGCTATGCCCCTACTTATACATCCCAAAATGCCATTGGCCTTCTTGGCAACAAGGGCACACTGCTGACTCATATCCAGCTTCTCGTCCACTGTCACCCCTAGGTCCTTTTCCGCAGAACTGCTGCCTAGCCATTCGGTCCCTAGTCTGTAGCGGTGCATTGGATTCTTCCGTCCTAAGTGCAGGACCCTGCACTTATCCTTACTGAACCTCATCAGATTTCTTTTGGCCCAATCCTCCAATTTGTCTAGGTCCTTCTGTATCCTATCCCTCCCCACCAGCGTATCTACCACTCCTCCCAGTTTAGTATCATTCGCAAATTTGCTGAGAGTGCAATCCACACCATCCTCCAGATCATTTATGAAGATATTGAACAAAACCGGCCCCAGGACCGACCCTTGGGGCACTCCACTTGATAGCGGCTGCCAACTAGACATGGAGCCATTGATCACTACCCGTTGAGCCCGACAATCTAGCCAGCTTTCTACCCACCTTATAGTGCATTCATCCAGCCCATACTTCCTTAACTTGCTGACAAGAATACTGTGGGAGACTGTGTCAAAAGCTTTGCTAAAGTCAAGAAACAGTACATCCACTGCTTTCCCTTCATCCACAGAACCAGTAATCTCATCATAAAAGGCAATTAGATTAGTCAGGCATGACCTTCCCTTGGTGAATCCATGCTGGCTGTTCCTGATCACTTTCCTCTCATGCAAGTGCTTCAGGATTGATTCTTTGAGGACCTGCTCCATGATTTTTCCAGGGACTGAGGTGAGGCTGACTGGCCTGTAGTTCCCAGGATCCTCCTTCTTCCCTTTTTTAAAGATTGGCACTACATTAGCCTTTTTCCAGTCATCCGGGACTTCCCCCGTTCGCCACGAGTTTTCAAAGATAATGGCCAATGGCTCTGCAATCACAGCTGCCAATTCCTTCAGCACTCTCGGATGCAACTCGTCCGGCCCCATGGACTTGTGCACGTCCAGCTTTTCTAAATAGTGCCTAACCACCTCTATCTCCACAGAGGGCTGGCCATCTCTTCCCCATTTTGTGATGCCCAGCGCAGCAGTCTGGGAGCTGACCTTGTTAGTGAAGACAGAGGCAAAAAAAGCATTGAGTACATTAGCTTTTTCCACATCCTCTGTCACTAGGTTGCCTCCCTCATTCAGTAAGGGGCCCACACTTTCCTTGGCTTTCTTCTTGTTGCCAACATACCTGAAGAAACCCTTCTTGTTACTCTTGACATCTCTTGCTAGCTGCAGCTCCAGGTGCGATTTGGCCCTCCTGATATCATTCCTACATGCCCGAGCAATATTTTTATACTCTTCCCTGGTCATATGTCCAACCTTCCACTTCTTGTAAGCTTCTTTTTTATGTTTAAGATCCGCTAGGATTTCACCATTAAGCCAAGCTGGTCGCCTGCCATATTTACTATTCTTTCGACACATCGGGATGGTTTGTCCCTGTAACCTCAACAGGGACTCCTTGAAATACAGCCAGCTCTCCTGGACTCCTTTCCCCTTCAAGTTAGTCCCCCAGGGGATCCTGGCCATCCGTTCCCTGAGGGAGTCGAAGTCTGCTTTCCTGAAGTCCAGGGTCCGTATCCTGCTGCTTACCTTTCTTCCCTGCGTCAGGATCCTGAACTCAACCAACTCATGGTCACTGCCTCCCAGATTCCCATCCACTTTTGCTTCCCCCACTAATTCTACCCGGTTTGTGAGCGGCAGGTCAAGAAAAGCGCCCCCCCTAGTTGGCTCCTCTAGCACTTGCGCCAGGAAATTGTCCCCTACACTTTCCAAAAACTTCCTGGATTGTCTATGCACCGCTGTATTGCTCTCCCAGCAGATATCAGGAAAATTAAAGTCACCCATGAGAATCAGGGCATGTGATCTAGTAGCTTCTGTAGCTTTCTAGTAGCTTAGAGACTGGGAGTGGCTAAGTCATTATGCAAGGTAACCTATTTCCCCTTGTTTTTTCCTACCCCGCCCCCCGCCCCCCAGACGTTCTTGTTAAACCCTGGATTTGTGCTGGAAATGGCCCACCTTGATTATCATACACATTGTAAGGAGAGTGATCACTTTAGATAAGCTATTACCAGCAGGAGAGTGGGGTGGGGGGAGGTATTTTTTCATGCTTTGTGTGTATATAAAAAGATCTTCTACACTTTCCACAGCATGCATCCGATGAAGTGAGCTGTAGCTCACAAAAGCTTATGCTCAAATAAATTGGTTAGTCTCTAAGGTGCCACAAGTACCCCTTTTCTTTTTGCGAATACAGACTAACACGGCTGTTACTCTGAAATTTGTCAAGCCAGGCTCTGCTCAATTCAGTTTAGTGAGTCCCCTCTGCAGAGCTAGATACACAGCACTGGCCGGGGGCCAAGAGGCTACTAGAAACTGTGAGTGCAGCCTCACGGCTCTAGGCACAGTCAGGAATAAGCCTCTGGACTTCCTGGCACACGGGCTGGCCTGGGAGGACTCCAGGCAGTTGGGTGGGTGGCTTGTGCTCCAGCATCTAAACTTTGCTTTCAAAAGAGGCCTCCGGCCAGTGTTCTCTCTAGTTTTTTACGTCCATGTGTGGAATGAATTTTGTTATGTGCATCAATATGGAGGTGATGTGTGGTGGGGATGAGGCCAAGGGGTTTGGAGTGTGGGAGGGGGCTCAGGGCTGGGGCAGAGGGTTGGGGTGTGCCGGGAAGAGGGCTCTGGCTGGGGGTGCGGGCTCTAGGGTGGTCCCGGGGATGAGGGGTTTGGGGTGCAGGCTGTCCCGGGGCTGCGGCAGGGAGAGAGGACTCTCCCCAACCCTCTCTCCCGCAGCAGCATCTGGGCTGCGGGGGAGAGGCCCCTCTCCCCACCGCAGCAACTCCAGGGCTGGGGGAGAGCGTCTCTCCCCACCGCGGCAGGTCCGGGGCTGGGGCCAGGGGAGAGGCACCTCTCCCCGCTGCAGCCCTAAGCACCTGTGTGGCCCTTGATAGGCTGCTGTGCAACGCGCAGCTTAGAGGGAACTTAGACACCCGAAGGGAGATGTCAGAGAGCCAGGTCGAGAGACAGGATTGAACGGCAGGAGACAGGCGAGGCATGGAGAGAGCTGTGTGAGCCATCAGCATAGAGATGAGAGCTGAGTCCTGTGAAACTGTCCAGAGGGTGAAGGGAGATGAACCAAGGGCAGAGCCCCTGGGAATTCCCTGAGAGTGGCAGGGGGCAGCCCCACTAAAAGGGCTCATGTTCAGAGGGGTAGGAGAGGACAGTGTCTCAGTGCCCAGAGAGTGGCTGGGAGGTCGAGACTGGAGTAGAGGCCCTAAGGGCTGGCCAGGAGGAGGCTACTGGAGGCCGTGGTGGGAGCAGATCAGCAGAGCAGAGAGAGCAGATCGGGGCTGGGAGGGACCCCAGGCAGAGCTGGATGCATGGGCTCAGCCAATTTAGAGCCAATGCTCTCGGTGCATGTCACAGCCCCATCCCCCACAGTCCCAGGCCAGCTCCCGGCAGCCAGTTACCTGGCGTTGTAGCTTGGAAACAGATGAAATCGCTCTCCACGTGGATTTGGTGACTTGCATCATCTTCTAACCCTTCAGGGGGCAGCGGAGCAAGGCTGGAGCCATCTCCCGGGAGCTCTGCAGAGTCACTCACCCACACCTGTCCGTGGTTCTCTGGGAAACATGGGCACCAGTTACAGCCAAGATCAGGCCATGTTTTCCCGTTCCCACATCCCCGTTCCAGTGGGTGCCCTTCCCCTGGTGGCAGGCCACCAGCCCCGTCCCAGAGTGCAGGCTCACCCCCACGGCAGGCCTGAATGATGATCACTTTGGGTTTTTCCAGCAGTGCCTGGCAGTTCCTGTTGTTGAAGGTGCTGTAGATGGTGTCAATGGGAAGGATGTCTGTGGACTCGTCTTGGCAATTTGTCCCGCACAGGCCAGCCCTGACGCCATGAGACATGAGCACAAGGAAGGTGCTATCCGAGGTCTGGTGCTCGTTCCGAGCAGCAAACTGCTTCAGGGTCTCCACCATGGCCTGAAAGCAACGCAGGGACAGCAGTGTCAGTGAACAGCAGCCAGAAGAATGACTGCTACTCCTGCGAGCACCATTGAGGGGTGGCGGGGCAAGACCTCCCGCAGCAGCAGCCAGTGCTCTCTTGGATGGAGCATTCCATGGAGAGAGTGTTCCCATCCCAGAGAGGGCTTTGGGAGAGATCTGACATCCCCCTACTGGCAGCTCCTAGGAGGAACCAGCCCCAGGACCCTTGCCAAGGGGGGACTGAGCCAGGAATGAACCAAGCAAAGGTCACAGCATCTTCCCCAGGGGCCTGAGATAGTCACTGGTGTCTTGGGGAGATCCTGTACCTGGGCATTTAAGTTGCAGTGGATTTCCACCTTGTATCCCAGCCCTTCTAGAAGCCTCTTCATCCCTTTCATGTCCACGTCAGCCCCGTCCCTCCTGCGGAGATGGTCAAACTCAACATTACAGATGATGAGGGCCAGGCGGGTTCGCGTCGCCTTGTCCCGGATGGAATAGATCTGTAAGAAAGGAAAACTCACGCTGGGCCGGTCACGACGCAACCCTCACTTTAGCGGCCCAGTGCACGTGGCAGGATGGAGCTACGACCCATAGGGAGGTTGTTACCCACATCTCTAGATACCACTCCTCAAATTACCAAGGAGCCCCTTCTGCTCCATGCCCCTTAGCATTCCTACAAGGAGACTGTCACATGGCTTCTGGGCAGTAGGGTCTCTGTGGAGGAAGAGTGCCCCCCCCAAGTACCCTCTCATGGGGGCTGTTGTTGAAGGGGAAAGGGTCTATGTCATCCTGGTGGATGCAGCCAAACTTAGCCCAGTACGATACACACAGCCAGAAACATAGCTGGGGCCACTACAGCCAAACACCCCGGCACAGCTGGGCCAGAGGCTGAGTGGGGAGAGCTAGCAAACCTGCCTGTGATTAGTCCCTCCTGCCCGCATCGCATGGGGCTGGCTGGGCATGGCCTCCACAGAGGAGCCTGCAGCACCTTCACAAGCATCATGGAGAAGCTTCGCTTCCTCTTGGTGACTGGTCCCCAACTGCTCGGGTGACCTAGGGAGGGCTCGGAAAGGTCTTGCTGCTTCCAAGGCTTCCCCCTCCCTGACACCACACAGCTGGTCTGGCGCTGGGCGCAGCGACCAAGGGACCCCAGGCCATCACGCTGCTGTCAGTGCTTCAACGGGATCTAGCAGGAAGGGGCAACTTGCAGTCTCCGTGCAGCTAAAATCAAACACTGTCAAACCGCCGAGATCAACCACTTCTCTGGCTCCACATGGCACAGACAGAGGTGTAGGGCTTGGGGGGCAAAATTGTCAAGGGTGCTTTCCACACCCCCTGCAGCCCAGTCCCTGAGGCCCCATCGGGGAGTGCAATGGCACTCATGCTGAACACGTTCACAGTGATGCTGGAGGAAAAATCTGGCTGTAGCCAGCAGGCTGTGCCTGAGCTCTGGGGTCTCTGCCACACACACACGACAGGGGAGGAGCCCAAAGGGAGCAGCACAGAGCACCTCCTTTGCTTCCTCCTTCTGGATCCGCTGGACGAATTCCTGGGGGCAGGGACAGATCCATTCCTGAGATGGCGCTGGCTGGGTTTCTGCAGCAGACCCTGGGATCATAAACCCCACATTAGCTGAGAGGAGGCAGTTAGTAGCTGGGAGCCACACGTGCTGTCCTGAAATCCCCACTGGGAAAGGCAGAGGGAGAAAATGCAGAACAGCCCACGTCTCCTCCTGAGACAGGGAGCAGCAAGGCGAGGTGGCTCACCCTCCACACTGGCTAGTGCGATGGGTTGGGTCTGCGAGGGCACAAGCCACTGCCTGCTGGGGGGCTGGGATAGGCAGGGCCATGACTGTCCAACTTGGGGGAGTATCCCCCATTCAACAGAGACAGCCTGAGTTGTCCCTCTCCATCACCATGTCTGCATAGCCCCTCGACTGCCACTATGCACCTGGGAGTGACAGGATCATGGAACGTGGTGGGTGGACTCAGGGCATCCCTGCCCCATTGTGCCACGGGTTCCCTGCTCTGGAAAGAGGGCAGCATCTCCACACTCTGAGCAGCATCTGGGGCCTGGCTCAGCTGCTGCCAAGCCCTTGCACCAAGGGGAGATCACAGTGTGAGGAACCCCACCCCCAGCAGGACACTCATGGGGCTGGGCGAGCACCTCTGCCGCTCAGGGCAGGAAGCTGCTCTGTCCTTTGCTGATGCCCAGCAGGGAGGTGTGGGTCAGCCTGGCCTCTCTTGCTGCCCTGTTGTTGGGAATCAGGGGCCTGGGGAATCCCAGTGCAGACAAAGCCTGTGTTTGGAAAGAGCAGGGCACGTCTGTGACATTGGCTCTGCCATTGCTGTGGCTAGTGGGAAACATGGGCCCAGGCAGCAGCACCCAGGCCTTTGCAGCTCATTTAATAACCAGCATGCACATGTCACACACCCTGGAGGGGGAGAGAACCCTGCACGGAGAGGGGCTCCCAAAGGCCAGTGCCCATGGGAGAACCCCTGCCCAGCCCAGCCTCCTGCCCAGCTGCCCGTGCATGCAGCCTCACAGAGACTGGAGAATCGGCCGTTGTGGCACCACTCACCCGAGGGGGGTCTGAGCCCCAGCTCCGAGGCCAGGTGGACATCTCTGAAGCAGAGGCGCTCGATGAATATTTCACTGGCTCTGGCACCCTTTTTCCTCACCCCATCAATCAGACACCTGGCTTGGTCGCTCTTCTTACTGCAGCTCTCCCTCACCTCCTCCACTTCCTCCTCGTTCAGCACCCGTCTCTCCAGCAGGTCGTCCAGGAGGGTGCTGATCACAGCCTTGCTCACACTCTCCACAAACCTGATCCGCACGTTGCTTAACTTCCGGTCTGTAAGAGCAGCCACGTGAGCCCCTGGGGCCTCCCCTGGGGCCCCGCCAGCCCTCGGGGTGTTTGCACCTGCCCATGGCGGCGCCAGGCCCTGTGTGCAGGTACCGTGCTATACCAGGCAGCTCCTTCGCATGGGGGTTGCACTAGTGGAGCTCCCGTAGGGACCAGCTGATACAGCCATGGCCCACCCCACAGCCTTCCACGTACACCCCACACATTCCTTCACACACAACCCCCCGATCTCCCACTCACTCCACCAGCCTCCAGCGCCTGACAAGCACTCACACACACTGGGCTGGCTCGCTAGCCCGGGACTTTTTTATGAGGATTCCATTTCGTTTTCCAGACTCGCAGCCTTCATTACAGTGAGTCTCTCGCTGTTCCTGGCATGACAAGACCCTGCAGTTAGCCCTGCCTGTGGCTGCACTGCTCGGCACGGGGAGGCCTGTCCCAGCCCTCAGTGAGGAGTTAGCTCAGACCTCCAATGGCAATGTCGGTAACTGTTTCACGTGCGAGTAAATGGTCAGGTTAAACGCTGTTGGTGGCCGTGACAGCTGCTTGCAGTCAGGGTAAAGAAGCAATTAAGCTCCCTTGTGGAACCAGAGAGCTGACACAAGAGGAGCGCCCGCCCATGCCAGCCCATAAGGAAGCCAGCTACGGCTGTGGAGGGATTTTACTGAGTGAGGGTTGGGGCGGGGTGTGTCTGAGAGACACGGCAGACGCACCAGAGGAGCAGCAAGGAAGCACCAGACACAGCCATGTTTCCATGGGTTGTGCAACCCTGAGAAAAGCGCAGAGCTGCAGGAGCTGCGAGGCCAGAGCCTGGTGACCCAGAATGCCCAGCTGCTCGGCTCTGCGCTGAACGGGCAGGAAGTGGCAGAGCTAGAAGGGCTAATGAGTAGTCTTAACTCTGCCCCTCCCCAGAGTGACACTGTCTGGCTTCTCTTTCGCAATGGGGACATGGCTCCCTTTGTGTTACAGCCTGCCCGCAATGGGGGAGCGGGAGGGGAATATCATAGGGAACTTAGGGCTGGGCTACACTGAAAATTCACATCGGGCCTAGCTACGTCTCCCAGGTGCAAAACAATCCACGCCCTCGAGAGAGAGACGCAGGGCAAGTCTACGCTTAAAAGGCTGCATCAGCACAGCTGCACCCGTCTTCACAGCGCTTAAGTGAAGACGCCCCTACACGGGCGGGAGAGTTTCTCCCATTGGCGTGATTAATCCACCTCCGCCCGAAGCAGTAGCTGTGTCCACGGGACAAGCTCTCACTGACACAGTGCTGTCTGCCCAGGCTAGGTGGGTGTAACTACGGCGCTCAGGGGCATGGATTTTTCACACACCCAAGCATCTAAGTCTGTAGTGTAGCTCTGGCTGTATGCCTGTATCTATCCAACCCATCCCCTGGTGGAGGAAGTGCTAGGTCAGTGGAAGAATTCTGCCATCGATTTAGCTGCCTCCTCTTGGGGAGGTGGATAAACGACAGTGATGGGAAACCCCTCTCCTCGCTGCAGGGAATGGCCCCACTGCCACGTTTGAAGTGCAGACATCCCCTAAGGCCTGGACTACACTAGGAAATTTGGTCAGTAGAACTCCACTCCCCAGAGCAACGCAGTTAAACCGGCCTAAGCCCTGGTGTACACAGGGCTAGCGCTCTTGGGAGGTGGCGTGCATATTAGGAAAAACTTTTTCACTAAGAGGGTAGTGAAACACTGGAATGCGTTACCTAGGGAGGTGGTAGAATCTCCTTCCTTAGAGGTTTTTAAGGTCAGGCTTGACAAAGCCCTGGCTGGGATGATTTAACTGGGAATTGGTCCTGCTTTGAGCAGGGGGTTGGACTAGATGACCTTCTGGGGTCCCTTCCAACCCTTATATTCTATGATTCTATGATTCTATGATTCTATGTGCCGATGGGAGAACCCCTCCTAGCAGGGTAGGAGGGATTCACTGACCGCTCCAGCCGCACCCCTGTGGCGTTAAGCCCTGAGTGTGTAAACGTAACGCCGCCACTAGTGCTGAAAGCTTGGAACTGTTTTTCCTAAAGCTCCCAGGTTGTCTATAGTCCAGGGCTTGCCCTTGGGGAAGCAGGGAGGGCACCAGATCACTTCTTGACTGGGGGCAGTGTTGCCAAGGCCAACGGTGATGGACTAGGCCCAGAGCAAGCTCCTGCCCAGCCCAGGAGGAGAGTCAGCTCCAGCTAGATACCTAAACCCAGATCGAGGCACCCAAGTGCAAATAGCCTGCAATAGTCAGGCCACGTATTTCGGGACCTAAATACCCAGGCGAACATGTTGGCCTTAACCTTCGCCCTCGTTCCCCCTTCTGTAAATGGGGCCAGGGAATAGCCTGTCACGGGCAGGGTGGGGTATGGATGAAGCGCTAACAATCCCCAGACGGCATGTTCAGCCCCGAGCAGCCAGGGAGCTAGTGGCCCCGACACCCAGCTTCTTTGCAAAAATCTTTCTATTGCAGGCAGCCGGGCCTGGCCCCAGCTCACACTGACGGGCTCTGCACCTGTGGCAGGAGGCTCCCTGCTTGTGCAGGTTCGGCCACATCGCAAAGGATCCTTGGACTGGCTCTCCCTGAGCTCCTGCCATTGACTGGCCAGGTGGGGGAGCAGGGGAACGGGCCAGCTCTGGGTGGGGCACAGGTGGGGGACGCTGTGGCACTGGTCTGGGGCTGCTGGCCAGCTCTCCCTAGCCCAGGCTGGATTCAATACCTTGGGGCCCTCCCTCAGGGTATGCTTTATTCCTTCAAAAAAACCCCACCCAAAGTAACACAAAACAGGCTGCAGGAGCCCCGCCTGCCCCCTCTAGGGCCAGTCCACCCCCCCCCGCCCCTCCCCCTCCTGGAGCTCTGCTCCAGCTGAGCTCCCTCAGCCCTCCACAAACCCCTGGCCCCTTCCCAGCTGGGGCTGAAAACTGAACAGGGCTGGCTGGCCTCATGCCCTTAAAGGGGCCAAACATCCTCTGTGACACGTCCCTTGTGGGGGGAGTGAGGAACGAGAGGGCGCTGGCCCCGTCTGAGCAGAAGGTGGCAAGGAAGGCGGGATACCATGGAACAGTCCTCATCGGGGCGGGGAGCAGAGTGGGTAGAGGGTGGGAGGGGGGCTGGCGCCATCCAGAGGGAGTGGGCAGGGATTGGGAAGTTGGAGGGGGGGCTTGCCCCATCCGGGGGGGGGGAAGGAAGGAGGGGAAGAGCACAGCACCAGCCCCCCCCCCGGAGGAGCAGGCAGGAGCATTTACTCAAGCCCAGAGGCCTGGCCTCGTGTCTGGCAGGAGCAGAGGCTGCCCACGCCTGCAGCTGCCAGGCCCCAGGCAGGGTGTGCACCAGGGCCTGAGGAGGGGGGACAAAACAGAGCCCAGCCTCCCTCCTGTCTCTACCTGAGGCTGCCCAGGCCCCTTCACTCACCAGCCATCGCCCCCAGGCTGAGGCCCCGCTCAACCTGCACCGGTCACCAAGAAGTCTCCGTAACAGAAAGTGAAAGTGATGCCTGGTCCCCTCCTCTTCCTGCCGCTCCCAAAGCCTGCGTTGGTGTAAGGGGAGCGGGGCTCCGCACACAGGCAGGGTGGGGATGGCCAGGAGTCAGGGCTCCAGACAGGGCCCGGGGCCCAGCCCCACTCTGAACTCAGCGTGTTCAGCCAGAAGCGGCTGGTTGAGGGAGCATTGCTCCTCCAAGGGCACAGGGCTCTCCCCAGCCCTGGCCAAAGTGGTGGTGCACCCTGGGGTAGGCCCCCCAGCCTGGCTCCCTGCCGGTGGGCTCAGAGGGTACAAGGGGGGCCACATGCCATGCAGCACCACGGCCGGCCCACTCTGTGGAGCAAAGCTGCCTTTAGAGAGACATTTAAGGTCAGGCTTGACAAAGCCCTGGCTGGGATGATTTAACTGGGATTTGGTCCTGCTTCGAGCAGGGGGTTGGACTAGATGACCTTCTGGGGTCCCTTCCAACCCTTATATTCTATGATTCTATGAGAGGGAAGGGTCCCAAGCTTGTCCCTTCCCCACGCCTAACCCCCATGCACCCTCTGGCTCCCACCTCCTGTTCTCAGCTGTCTGCTTTCATGGGGTGCAGCCCTAGGGTGACCAGATGGCAAGTGTGAAAAATCGGGATGGGTGGGGAGAATAGGTGTCTACATAAGAAAAAAGCCCAAATCTCGGGACTGTCCCTATAAAATCAGGACATCTGGTCACGCTATGCAGCCCTCGCCCTAGGGAGGCTGGTGAGCTGGAGAACAGTGCGGCAGCTGAGGCCTGGCACAATGGGGGATTTCTGAGCCAGGCCCCAGATCAGCATCCAGGCCCAGGGCAGGGTGTGCAGCAAAGGCACAATTCTCTGTGATAATCAGCCCTTCCTTTCACAGCAATGAGCACTGGGAACAGAGGACCCAGGGAATAAATGACACCTGGCAACCCCTGTGATTTTATTGCAAGTCTCAGATGCAAGACCCTAGCTCCCATAGGCAGGAAACCCAGCATCATTACTAGGCGGCTACTGCCACCTGCTGGTTGGCCAGGGGAAGTCAGTCTTGGAGCTTTGCAAAAGAACAAAACAAAGCTTCAGAGTATTGGCAAAAAGAAAAGGAGTACTTGTTGGGGCTCCTTTAGGGGGAGTATTGCCACACGGCCTGTCGCAGGCTTGCTGTCCTTCTCGTAGCCTCACTGATTGGGCCCTGGTTATTTGTCTGCTTCGCCATCTCCTTCCTGCCCAAGGCTGGAGCACAGCACACACAGCCTGAGCTCCAGGGTGCACTGGAGAACAAACAAGTCAGCCGAATCCAAGGGAAATTCCTGTCTAACTCCCTCTTGGGGTACTGAAAGGAAGGAGGTCCTACCTTGATGGAAAACCCACCCCCACTTCAGTCACTGTGTTAGGATATAAATGTTCAGGCCTGTCTGTAAAGGCCTAGACTCTAAGAATTTAGGTGTATTCTTATTACTTGGCTAGTTAGAGGTATAAAAGAAAGAATCAAAATCACTGTCTGCCAGTGTAAGGTCCTTCTCTTACTGTGACAGTCTGAGGCCCTGTGCTTAGGCTAAGGCCTTTGGCCAAGCAACAGAGGCAGCCATAAGCTGGGAAGCAACCGGTCACCCCATCACATTCCAACCTAGTCCCATTGAAAGAAGGTGCTATTGGGCTGTTAGGAATACACTCCTGTCCTGATAACGCCTGTCACCTCCAGAGAAAGGGAAGTGCCTAGAAGATGTAAAAGGAAACTTAGTTTGATAGCATCCTGTCTGGCAAGAACTCATTTATCAATACTGGGATGTGAAATCCTCACTTCTGTATTGTTTTGTCATTATAGTTCCTACTTTGCTATTGTTTATTGGCATGGTCTCTGTCTGGTTCTGTGATTGTTCCTGTCTGCTGTATAATTAATTTTGCTGGGTGTAAACTAATTAAGGTGGTGGGATATAATTGGTTACCTAATCATGTTACAATATGTTAGGATTGGTTAGTTAAATTTCAGTAGAATGATTGGTTAAGGTATAGCTAAGAATATTACTATATAAATTAGGGGCAAACAGGAAGTAAGTTGGGATTTGAAAATAAGGAAAAAGGAACTTGTATTTAAGCTTGCTGGAAGTTCACCCCAATAAACATCGAATTGTTTGCACCTTCGGACTTCGGGTATTGTTGCTCTCTGTTCATGCGAGAAGGACCAGGGAAGGAAGCGGGTGAAAGAATAAGCCCCCTAACACCTTGGTGCTGGGACTTGGATACATCGCATTGGATAGGTGAGTGGCAGCCTGTAAGTCCCCCTCCCCAACAGTCCGCGCAGCTGCTTGGAGGGGGTATGGCGAACTCTCGTGATGGTAGTTGCGGGTTCTGGCAAGCTGGGGTAACGGATTTTTTGAACAAATGGATAAGGAAGAATCAGGGCCCATACCAGGTGCAGGGGCTCCCCTGGGATGAGATTGAGAAGGAGATGGGAGAGGTTTTGGGAGACCCCAAGGGAAAGGAGTGTAGGAAAAAGGGAATGGTATTACAAGGTTTGTGTGCTGGGATGGCATACTGGGTAAAAAGGGAAGCTGATCTCCTCCAACACAGTAAGGATTTGGAGGGGATTGTGGATCAGCAACGGATTTTAACAGAAAAATCCGTGTTAGCAGTAGAGGTAGCGGATTTGAAGGCACGGGATGCTGCACAGACAGAGGAGTCTTGTGAGGCAATCCGGAGAGAGAGGGATGAACTGCTGGGGAGAGTAGGAGACTTAGAGGAGGAATTGTATCATTGTAAACATGGGGGCAATGGACTTGGGGCCCCCAAACCATCCGCCCCACTAATGGAACTGAAGGAGACACCTCCACCACCCTACCCTGAAAAAACACTGTACCCACCACTGCCAGGGGACGTTGTAAGCCGGCGATCCACAGTTACAGCCCCTGCGAGAGAGGCTACCCGGGAGGAACTGCAGGAGGCAGGAATAGTGGCCCCGGTTGCGGGGTGGGGGGACCATGCCCCACAAGTAGTAGAACAGGCAGAAATCCGCCCCTTGTCCCTGAAGGATAGGGAGGCAGTACTGGGCCGTTTGGGAAAGATACCCCGGGATGATTGGGATCAGTTTGTGCTGTGGCTAGTGGAGGTGGCCAGGGAGATGGAGGGTCTAACTCGGGAGGACCAGGTGATCATATGGCGTAGTCTTTTGGGACGAGGTACCTTGGGAATCGATGTGGCAGGAGTGACACACCCATTTCTAATCCCCGGACAGGTGGCAAAACAGTTGTTTGGGGTGTACTTTCGTACTGCGGGGATGAATAAGATGAAGCGAATCCCTGGGGAAACAGGGTGGGATACACTTAATCGCATACAGGCATGGGCACGGTGCTGGGTGGATCCCCTGGACGGTCCATGGCTGATGCCCCAGGCAGGGCCACCGAGACCTGGTGGGGGTGTGGAGCAGGGTTGGGGTGTGGAATTGCTGGAGAAATGGTTGGAGCTGAGCAATCCGCAGTTTGTGGGGCATTTAAGGTTGCAGCACCCTGAACTTGCTCCCAATCAGCTACCCCAGTTTCTGGAACAGGCAGATGTGTGGAGGCAGATGCATCGGGGGAAGAGCCAGTGCATGCTATTACTGCGGGGGATCAATACAAGGTGAAAAGGGGTGGGTCAGCCTGGAGAGGAGGAGGTAGAGGGAGAGTTCGTGGCTTTGGGAGGGTAGTCAGGGACGAGCGGGCAGTTATAGAGCAACAGATCCAGAGAGTGCAGGCTAAACCGACTACCCACGATCTTACCAGATCAGGGGGAAAGTGGTCCCGGAGGCCAAGGGACTGGGACTGCCTGAAATGCCAGACACACAATTTTGCATGGAGACAGGAATGTGTTTGGTGCCAGGACCCCTGGTCCCCCCATGAACCAGTGGGAGGGACAGAGGTGGGTGCTGCAACTTAGGGGTGCCCTGGGAGGCGTCCTGTCCATGTTCTCAGTTTAGGACGGATGCATCTGGTCGTCCCACGCTCCAGGGGGCAATCGAAGGGATTCCCATGAGGGATTTTTTGATAGACACTGGAGCAGCCATCAGTTTAACCACACGGGGGCAGGGGAGACCCTCAGAAGGGACTGTGACAATTGTAGGGGCAACGGGAGGGGAAACACAGTTAACCCTGAGGCGGGGACAAATCAAAGGAATCTGGGGGGGAAGGGGAGATTATGTGGGGTTGTAATGATATGCTTAATCTGTTGGGGGCAGGAGATTTACACAAACTGGGACTCGTACTGGATTTAGCCAATTGGGTGTGTTTACTGGGGCAAACGCAGGACGGTCAGGGCTATACCATTCCCATGGGGATAGCCACTATGACCATTAAGGCGGCACATGCCCTCCCACCACCCCCGGCTGGGTGGGAACACATCCCTGTGTGGGCGAAGGATAACCTGGATTGTGGGAGGGGCAGCATGGAGGTACTGATGGAGGGAGGGGACCCTCCCCCACAGAAACAGTACCCCATTCCTCGGGAGGCGTTGGCAGAGGTGGGGGCAACTATTGGGGAGTTGGAACAAAGGGGACTGATTCGGGCAGTTGCATCCCCTTGTAATGCTGCTGTGTGGCCCGTGAGGAAGCCAAACGGTACCTGGCGTCTCACTGTGGATTACAGGGCGCTAAATGCTCTGGCCAATTCGCTAGTCTCAGTGGTGGCAGCGGACCCTGAAACGTTGGCCCGTATTGGACCCCAATTCCGAATTTTCACTGTTTTGGACGTAGCTAATGGGTTTTGGTCTCTGCCACTAGCTACCTCGTGTCAGTATAAAACTGCATTCACATGGGAGGGCAGACAATTCTGCTGGATAGTCCTACCCCAGGGATATAGGGACTCCCCTGCAATTCTTCACAAGTACATGAGACAGGCTCTGGAGGGGGTGGATTCAGCAAGGTGCACACAATATGTAGACGACCTGTTGCTAATGTCAGGGACAGAGGAAGAAGACAGGGAACTAACTGAGCTGGTCCTGCAAGCAAGAGCAGGATAGAAGGTCAATGGGGAAAAAGGCTCAGATGGGAC